ATAAAAAAAGGAAGAGGTCAGATGCACCCGATCCTCCCCGGGACTATAAAACCTAAACTCCGATAGATATCACAGACAGACAGACAAAAATAAAAAAAAGGAAGAGGTCAGATGCACCCGATCTTCCCGGGTCTATAAAACCTAAACTCTGATAGATATCACAGACAGACAGACAAAAATAAAAAAAAGGAAGAGGTCAGATGCACCCGATCTTCCCGGGTCTATAAAACCTAAACTCCGATAGATATCACAGACAGACAGACAAAAATAAAAAAGGAAGAGGTCAAATGCGCCTGACCTTCCCAGGTCTATAAGCCCTAAACTCCGATAAAGATCACAGACGAACAGACAAAAAAAAGGAGGAAAAGGTCAAATGCACCCGATCTTCCCAGGTCTATAAAACCTAAACTCCGATAAAGATCACAGACGGACAGAAACAAAAAGGAGAAAAAGGTCAAATGCACCCGATCTTCCCTGGTCTATAAAACCTAAACTCCGATAGATATCACAGACAGACAGACAAAAATAAAAAAGGAAGAGGTCAGATGCACCTGACCCTCCCAGGTCTATAAGCCCTAAACTCCGATAGATACCACAGACATAAGTTAACGTGGTTAAATAAAAACGAAAGGAAAATTTCGTTATTTTCTTACCACTAATAAAGCGAAGTTAATTTTTAACTACACAATTATGACTAGGAATGAATTAATTAGATATGGAACCAGAGTTTGTTTTGTTTTGAATGTCGCGCAAAGCTACACGAGGGCTATCTGTGCTAGCCGTCCCTAATTTAGTAGTGTAAGACTAGGGGGAAAGGCAGGTAGTCATCACCACCCACCGCCAACTCTTGGGCTACTCTTTTACCAACGAATAGTGGGATTGACCGTCACATTATAACGCCTCCACGGGTGAAAGGGCGAGCATGTTTGGTGTGACGGGGATTCGAACCCGCAACCCGCAGATTGCGAGTCGAACGCCCTAACCACCTGGCCATGCCGGGCCCGGAACCAGAGAACAACCCTGTTCTGTGGAACTAAGCTCTATTTAATGAAAACAGGCTTTCAAATTGTGTTTCTTTCAAAACTTTCGCGCAAAACCACACAAAGTGCTCTCTGAGCATAATCGTCCCTAATTTTGAACTGATAGACGAGATGGAAACTGTCAACAGGACTCACCGTCAACTTTTGAGCTACACTTGTATGACTGAACAACAGGGTTTTACCCTCACCCTTATAACGTACCTGCGGCCCCAAAGCGCACAGCGCGTTTTTCGAAAACTTTCTAAAACTAGCCAATGCATCCAAAACACGGCATAAAATACTCAAGTCACATATAATTAAATGGTATTGCAACGTTACTACTGAAGCACTGATGGAATAATTATCAACATTAATTATAACAAAGTACACTCCAGTAACTATATTACTGAAACTAATGACTTATAAAAAATAAAATCACTGTAAACTACATTGTTGACGTTTGCTAAAAATAACATCAACAATCGGTAGTTTGGATAACGACGTGTTTTTTTATTATCTATCTGTATACTAAAACTCTTGAGAATTTTTGTTTGTTTGTGTGCTTGTCTGTAATTAAATACAGCAAAAACGGTGCACAATAGCGCCATATTTGTAATGATTGTTTGTTTGTTTTTTGAATTTCGCGCAAAGCTACACGAGGGCTATCTGCGCTAGCCGTCTCTAATTTAGTCAGTGTAAGACTAGAGGGAAGGCAGCTAGTCATCACCACCCACCGCCAACTACTTGGGTCGTACTCTT